TATTTGGTTTAATAATATAATTTTCTTATAAAGATAATAATTAATTATTTTGATAGAACTCGATAATTATCCTAATTATATTTTAGATTTTTTAGGTTTTAAAATGAGATGTTTATCCTTTATTTGATTATATTTATCCGCAGTTAGTTACACGAATTCAAATATGAAGCTGTAATAAGTTGTACTTATGCATAATTTACTTTTAATTTTGAATTTTAAGTTATATGCATCAATAAACAGTACTTCATGCATAAAAAATGGTTTTTAAAAGTTTTTGTCAAATGCTTTATAATATAGTATATGTATATATATATATATATATATATATATATATATATATATTGTTCAAGATAAATATATAATAGAAAAATATTAGTCATCAGTACTTTAGTTATCTATATTATATTATAAAGTATTTGATAAAAAAATTTAAAAACCATTTTTTGTACATGATGTATTGTTTATTGATACATATTACTTCAAATCAAAATTACAAGTAATTGTGCGTAAGTACAACTTACTAAAACTCTATGTTTGACTTCATATAACTAATTTGCATATAAACATAATAAAAAAATACAGGATAAACATCTTATTTTAAATATAAAAAATCTAAAATATAATTATGAATATAATTGATTTCTAACAAAATATTTAAAATTATCTTTATAAAAAATTATATTATTAAACCAAAAATAAATTACTTCATTATTAAATTTAAATTAAATTATAATAAAATTTTGAATTACAGAAATTACACAAAAAACAAAAAAATTTAAATTGTTAATATTTGATACTGATATCGATATAATTTTTTCAATTTTTTTATCTTCAAATTTATATTTTATTCAAAATAAAAACATTATCGTTTTTTCAGAACCACATAAAACCGTATTATATCGACAAAAACAAATAATAAAACGAAACATTAAAATCGAGATGTATCTTGCTACGTTGCACGGGTATCCTTCTTGTTATCTATACTATATTCTAAAACATTTGACAAAAATTCATAAAAACCATTTTTTGTACATGAGATATTGCTTATTGATACATATTACTTAAAATTCAACATTACAAGTATAGTGCATGAATACAACATTTTAAAATTATATGTTTGAATTTATATAACTAATTGATAAACATAATTAATACAGAATAAACATCTTATTTTAAATATAAAGAACCTAAAATATAATTAGGATAACCATTTGATTCTAACGAAATACTTAATTATTATCTTTATAAGAAAAATTATATTATTAAATTTAAAATAAATTTTTCGTAATTAAACTCAAATTAAATTATAATAAAAAGATTGAACTAAAAATTATATTTATAAAAAGCATAATAATATTAGATCTAAAATAATTGCATCATTATTAAACGCAAATCAAATTATATAAAAAAGAGAATTTGATAACGATAAAAATTTTTATGGGTCTTCAAATTTTATTAATATATAAAACATTATCGTTTTTTCAAAATCATACAAAATTATATTATAAAACGACATATTAAAATTGAGATGCATCTTGTTGTATTGACCAAATAACAAATATATAATTCTCATATCAAATATAATTCAAAAATAAATATAATTCTTTTATTGTTTGAAAATAAATACGACAATTTGTTTGACGGATAATAATAATTTATGCCTTGATAATCATCTTAAGATAATAATAATAATAAACATAATAATCTGAAGATATTAGTCATGATAATAAATTCTATCTCTTTAACTGATATTGTTTCTATTTGTACTATATTATAAAGTATTTGATAAAAATTCTTAAAAATAATTTTGTATGTATGAAGTACTGTTTATTGATGCATATTACTTAAAATTCAAGATTATAAGTAAATTGTGCATAATTACAACTTATTAAAGCTTCATGTTTGAATTCGTGTAACTAACTACAGATAAATATAATCAAATAGAGGATAAACATCTCATTTTAAATATAAAAAATCTAAAATATAATTAGGATAATCATTGAATCTAACAAAATACTTGATTATTATCTTTATAAAAATACATATTATTAAATAAAAAAATAATTAAAGAACTACACAACAAAAAGAAATAGTGAGTTTCGTCTTAATATCAATATTTTTTTTCAATTTTTTATGATATTTTCATATTTATATTTTATTTAAAAATRAAAATATTATTGTTTTCTCAAAAGCACATAAAATCATATTATAACATCAACTGAGACAAAAAATAAATAAAATAAAACATTAAAATCGAGATGTATCTCGCTGCATTGTGGGAGTATTCTTCTAGTTTTATCAAAAATATTTACTTATGTTTATAGTTTATAACTGAATGTATACAACTTTTTAAACTTATACATAAATTTTATAAAACGGACTAATAATAACTAACTGATAAATATAATTTCGGTTTTTGTTTTTGTTTTTGTTTTTGTTTTTGTTTTTGTTTTGATTATGATCTTTGGGTGACCGTGGTGGTTGTTCCGGTTTCTCTTCTCTTTGGTTGGATCTGTTCTTTTTAGTAAAAACTCTCGTGTTTTCTGTACTTCTATTTGATTATTAATAAAATGATTTGCCTTTCAAAATAACTGTTAACCCTATATGGTATATCTCACTACAACAAAATTGGGTTTATAAGACATTTTCAATCTCTAAGTGTCCTAATAGACCGTTTTATAGGACTTAATTTTTAGGACCAAAATATAAAACGTCATATCTAAATATGTTGTAATAAGTTTATATGACGCTTTTGGGCGTCTTAACAAATTTTTTAGGATAATTTTTAATACAAAATGTCGAATTAGTAACTTTATAAGACACTTTTGATAAAGTGTCCTATAAACTCAATTTTTTATAGAACATTAGTTTTTATAGGACAGTTTTCAAAATAGTGTCATATAAAGTAGATAATAGAACGTTTTATATTAAAAATGTTCTAAAAAACTTATTACGACGTAAAAAAAACATATAAACTTATTGCAACTCCTTTAGAGATGACACTTTATTTTTTTGGTCATATAAACTAAGTCCTATAAAAAGGTCTATTAGGACACTTAGAATTTGGAAGTGTCCTATAAACCGGATTTTGTTGTAGTGTCTCCTTTTTTTTTTAGAGTAAATTACAAATTTTCGTCCATGTGGTTATATGAAATAATGGATTGAGTCCCCCAAAAGAAATAATATGTATGATCATCATGGTTTCACTTTTGTTTTAAATTGGGTCCATGGTCTAATGTCATTAACCTTATCTTCTTAAATTGAGGGTATTTTGGGCTTTATATATATATATATATATATATATATATATATATATATATATATATATTTTTTTTTTTTTTTTTTTTGGGATCATGTGAGAGAACTTGTTTTTGTGAGACCATCATTTTACATTTAGGAAGTCACATAAAACTTTGTGAAGTTAACTTTCACATTTTTTTTTGTGAATGTTTGGAATTTTTTTTACCTTCACATGTTTTGTTGTGAAGTTTCAAGTGTAAAAATGTGGTCAGACAAGTCTCACGAAAACATATTGGTCTCATGTGCGTGTGTGTGTGTAAACTTCATAGCAAAACACTGTGAAAGTAAAAATATCCGAATTTTCATTGCAAAAACATTGTGAATGTTACCTTCACAGCATTTTGCTGTGAAGTTTCAAGTGTAAAAAGTGGTCTTACGGGTCTTACGAAAACAAGTTGGTCTCACATGATCCCAAGTCTCTCTCTCTCTCTTCTCTCTCTCTCTCTCTCTCTCTCTATATATATATATATATATATAATATAATCATGTGAGACATGTGAAACACGATTTTTATATTTGAAAACTTTACAGCAAAAACACTTTAAAGGTTACCTTCACAGTGTTTTTGATGTGAAGATTCAACTTTTTTTTTACCTTCACAACATTTTGTTGTGAAGTTTTAAATGTAAAAATCGTGTATCATGTGTCTCACGAAAACAACATTATCTCACGTGAACCCAAACCCCCATACACACACACTGTACCAAAAAAAAAAATTCTTTAATATAATAACGTCCATACATAAATAAGTCATAAAGTCTAAATAGTTCAACGCAACGGAAGTATATATATATTTTTAAACTAATAAAACTTAAAAGGAACAATTGTCTAACGATATCCATATCAAGTTCCGGATAGTCTCCACTCCAAGCCTTTATTTCGCGTTAGCCAATTCTAAACTTTCTTCTTTCCCTTGCTACTATTCCCGTGTATAAGACGACCTGGTTGCATAATTGTTTTTGAAAGGAGTTGGGTGAGCTAAGGGCCCAATGATTTAACGGTTTAATGCATACACCACGTAAAAAAATTAGATTTCACAAAGCGTCATAATTTAT